CTCACATGTTGAATTGGGATCTACCACTACATTCAATGTTCTATGCACACGACGCTCAACTCACATGTTGGGATCTACCACTACATTCAATATTCTATGCACACGAAGCTCAGCTCACATGTTGGGATCTACCACTACATTCAATATTCGGTGCACACGACGCTCAGCTCACATGTTGAATTTTATGGAGGAAGGAAACCGGAGAACCCGGAGAAAACGACGCGTTAGCCTTGAACGTCACCCATGCTACCCTATGAGTGGATGAATAAATAGATATTTTTTCATGCAAGAGCTCGGAAGCGTCCGTGGAAAGAATCAGAGGACCTGTTAGGTAGTTCAATAGAAACTATCGCGGTTTGGGATGGAAAAATCAAACATTTTGCCACGTTTTTCATTTCATTCTCATTATCATCAGATAACTCATCTAAAGGAAAGTACGTGTTTTCTAACATGGATGACTTCAAGGATCACAGCTTGACCATCTATGACGTACGATCGTCAGACGCCGGCCAGTACTATTGTTGTATCAAGAACATCATGAGTTCCACACCCCYGGAAGATCTCAGTAACTGTCAGATCTTTGACGTCTCACCCGAACCCCAACACACTGCCTCATCTTCGAAATTATTAGGTCAGTAATATTATGTCATCATTGAATATCACATATACACTTAACACTAAACATTGCTCCATACATTTCTTTGTATTTTGTAATCTTCTAGTTTGATACTCAGTATCGAATAAAGGATACCATACTGAATCATTCTAACCACAAGCTATGTACGCTAAGTCCCTAAGCGGACCTTTGGGCTTACCGCCATTTGCATTGCAACGCGGCCACCCCAGACAAACATCGCGACGTGCACTTTGCAATAGACTGCCGTCAATCAAACACGTTGACGTCATTTACACGCGTGTGTGGTTCAAAAGGCTCCAAAACTTGTCGATTGTTTACAAGTATTATGAAACACACTGACCGGGCCTATCCGGGTCGATCCAAACGCGTGTAAATGACGTCAACGTGTTTGATTGAAGTAAAACATGAAGTTATTTACAAAGAAATGTATGGAGTAATGTTTAGTGTTGAGTGTATGACGTCACAGACACCTATAAAATTTCGTAAAAATATAATACTACCCATTGGAATACAAAGAAAAAACTTTAACCAGTGATTATATTAAACCCTTAAAGATTATTCCATTGACGTTTCGAATTAAATTTCCGAAGATTTTCGTGCTAGTCCCCCATTAACAACTCAGTTCTCGTTTACTTGGTTTTCATCTTAGCCCAAGTTGGTTCTTCTGTTGGCAAAACAAGTATGACGTTTTCTATCATTCTCCTCGACTTGCTGTTGACATGGTTGCTGTCATGAAACGTCACGTGACCATTCCACCAGGTCACGTGATGCCTGAGCATGGGGATGTCATCTATTATGTCAGTGAGATGAAATGCAAACTTAGTCTTAGAAAAAGCCGTTAATCTCCTTGCTTGTTGTATTTATTGCCTTTATTATACTGGGTACACCTACTTCAAAAAACATTATCATTGTCAAAGGCGATAGACGATAGGTCATTCCGACATGGAAATGGTTTCGTTGAATACAAAGAACATTGAATCAGACCCAAAACTAACTTGAAGGTCCATGTTCTTGACGAGAATAAGAGCAGAAGCACAAGTCATTCCATATATTCTATATCGTCTATCGCCTATTGCCTTTGGCGACAACAACGTTTTTTGAAAAAGGTGTATAAGAGTAGTTAGCAGTATATTTTCCGTAGTCTTATCTGTAAAACAAAATGGATACGTTTGGGTTTTCATTTGTGTGACTCCAACGAACTGAACAATAAAATGGAAAATATCTTTTCTTGTGTCATCTTCTAGCTTGTTATACGAAAACAAAAGGTGAACAAGGTTCTCAATCGAGCAAGCGTTAGCTGGCGGGCTGTGTTTAGTATCGCATCGACCCAGGAATCTTGTCTCGACAGGTTCGCATTTAATGTGAAAGCAAAGGCCGTCATTACGGGCGCTTTACGAGTGAAATCTTGCGACGTCTCTGAAATCATCATCATCCTCATTTTCCCCCCATTTGTCGCATTTCCAGCCTAAGGGGGCTTAATTCTGTATGGTCGCGGGAATCTTGTGTCTGCGTCATCATTCTTCTAGTCTGTTCTGTTGTAGTCTTTTCCTTTGTTGCTTTATCAAGATTGTTATACTAGACAGGGTTGTTACCCCTGTGCCAAACCCCCTAGACTGAAGGATTGTTGGATCGCGCTTTGTGCGGCCTGTACGATTCGATCTGTCTGGCTTGAGTGACTTGTCATACTAGGAGACAAAGCACCAGTCAGCATAGCTCTAGGGGTCATCTATAAAGGCACGGCGAGCTCTCCAACAAGGACAAGGTGGCAATCCGACGGAGAGCTTGCAATGTTACTAAGATGTGGCTGGGATGACCACGTTAATGACACTCTCGTCCTCACTTAACTAGAGACGTTAAAAAAGGAACGAGAATTCAACAGTCGTCAACAAATACTGTCAAGTGTTATCCTTTATAAATAAAGTTTTAACTATTGAAATAGTTTTTATATTTCAAATCTGAGGTTTTTCTCTCTTGGAGTGCCTTACTTCAAGTGTATTAGGTGTCAGTCTAGAGTCATCGGGTTTCATCCTCGCCACAGTATTCTATCTCTTTTCTTTTCATTGTTACTCTAAAGAGATAAACAATTACGACAGTCAGTGCCTCTATACTGCGTTTCCAGCAGGATTTAGGTGGAAGGTATAAGTAAATGACGCTCTTCCAGGGGGTTTGAGGGAACAAGGGAACATGATCATTTACTTTAAGGGAACAAGGGATATCATTGAAAAACTTTTAGGAAACGAAGTAACACAGTTGTGAAAAATTGTATTTTTGACTTGAGTAACAAATTGACAAACGTTGTATTTCGACTTACAAGGAACAACAGAACTTGCGGGAGACCGGTTGAATTAAATGCTCGATACCGGGTGTCCAGTGTCCGAAGTGACTGTCAGTTAACTCTATGTACAATAAATACATTGTGAAGCATATATACAAACAGATTTATAGTGCATTTATTTTATCCATTTGACTTTTAAAAGGTTTGGGGATATACTTTGAGGACAAAATGAAGGATTTCACTTCTAGAGTGGATGGCTAACGATCAACCTCGCCCCTCCCCTCTAAATCGTGTTGTAAATCATATAATTATACAGCTTCTCATTAATCCCATATAGGTAACTGTCCAATTATTTTCTTAATTGGACAGGTCTTGTTGATATGGGATTAATTAGGCAGCTATATAATTAATAGGTAATGACTCGAAAAATTCCTCTGACTGCCAAATTGGACTCGGTCTACGGCCTCATCCAATTTTGTCAGTCCTCGGAATTTTCCTCGTCCAATTATTTCTTAATTGAACAGCATGGCGTCCTATTACATATACAAATTGAGTATATATTGTAATAAATAGCCGTAGAAAAAATGAATTCTATAAATCTTTCGAGACGTGTGTCTCTTCCTCAGTGTAAAATGATCAACTCACAAGATTTGATCCTTCAGCATTCCTCAGATGAACAGGTTGTATTGTATTTCATAAATTGCCCCATTTCATTACACCGTCACGTCTCAGTTGTTTATGTAAGCAAGAACGAATAAGAATATTAGAAATTAAGTCTAACCCATCTTTCGTTGGAGATATTTTCTTTAACAGTACTAATAAAAAAAGGTTCGCAATTTTCTTGATACCGTATGAAAATAATTTAAATTATATCATATACTAGTAAAAAAAAAAGTTCGCAAATTTATCAACTTTCATAATTTCAGCGATGGTGTAAATTTCAGAGTAAAGATAAAACTTATTACTATGCAATGACATCAAGTCTTTGCTTCGTCTCCTTTAGATCGATTCGTATGCATTACGAACTCCCTTATAGCCCCTATGTTTTGGTCTGCATTTAGGCCCAAAGTATATATCATACTATACTCGTTTAGAGTGGATGACAATGGATACTCGATAATATAGCTTAACCATACGATACAATTAAAATTCATTGAGTGACTTTTACTCACCAAAACATARGGGCTATAACGGTGCTCGTAATGCATACGAATCGATCTAATTAAAGGAGACGAAGCAAAGACTTGATGTCATTACACTTCAGGATTTCTGAATTTGGAAATCATTTACAATATTGAAGTTGGAAATTATTTTACGAAATCTAAATAGTACAATGACACTTATTTGGTGCCTCTACAACGTAATTACGTTAGAATATAGTATATAGTTTAGTATATTAAGTTGTAAGTTGACTGGAATTATGACCTGTACGGGCTACACCAAGCTAGTCAGCTAACCTATCTATTATATAATTACAAATGTTTGGGTCAAAGTCAAAGTTTTCAGGGAACACTTCTGAAATTTTCTCACATGACCTCAAAATCAAAGTCCATTGGAAATCGTCACTGATGTTAGTCTAGGCGAAATAATCAAGGCTAAAGAATTTCCGAATACAGAAACGCTTTTCGAAAAATACAATTTTGAAAAGTAGAAGCAAAGAGAAAGCAACTGACGAACAATGCTGGAGAATATTAAAAGCAAAACTCATACTTGGCCAGGTGTAGCACTTATTATAATAA